CAGGAGAACCAACAGCTCAAAAAGCAACACGTAGGAGAACCCACAATGCCTCAATGGCTCTCTTCTCCTCCCCACATCTCTATTTATGCTGGCAACCTTCCCCAGGTGGAACGTCTATATTCAGCACCACGGTGATTTAATTCCACTTGCATTGTTGACCACCAGTTTTTAATCTATGACACCTAGATTTTTGTCCTATGTTCTCATTTCTTTTAAAAAAATCTATTATTCATGTTTTTCAGGGTTTTTTTTTTTATATACTAAGAATGTAGTGGAAACTTCCAAGGTTCTTGCATGATTGGTCAGCAACTAGAAGTCTGTTCATCTGTTTTTGAATACCAATTTCTTTCCTCAAAAGCTGTAGAAAACATTTTTGTTTTAATGTCTAAATTAATTGTTGAACAATGAGTTGCTGACTAAGCAACAGTATTTAGTACTTGATAAGTAGCACTTAGGTAAGATCAAGCCAGCTAGGAGGGTGGCCTCACCTATGTGGGTCCAGAAACTGATTTTTTTATTGTATTTGTGTTGATGAAGCCCATAATTTTTATTAATAGCAATTAAACTCAGAAGAAATTAAGGTTTGAGTCAGAATGGTAGTAGTTGATTTTCTTATGTGAGTTTCCTTTCTATGACTGAGATACTCCATGTCTCCCATACAGGCACTTCCAGTTATCAGAGTAAATAAACATACTTTTGAGCTTTTTAGTCCAACTAATAGAAAATACTTGTGAAATTTGCCTCTGCTCATGACACAGAAACAATTCTCTAGTGTCTGGAAATTTCTTATAGCCATCATTCAAATGATGTAGTTGAAAATCTCAAGCTCTGATAATTGTGATTAATAATAATAAAGACATCGTTCTGTGATAGGAACTATGCTAAGCAGTTAATCCTCACAGCATTTTTAGAGATAAGATGATTAATCTTGATGGAATAGGAAAGTAAAATGATTTAGTCATAGTCAGTAAAGCTTATATGTAGGGTCAAATGCACAGTTCTTTGAGCCACTTGTGTACTCTGTGGATTCCATTTATGGTGTCCATAAGAGCCAGATGCTTTGTATTGACACATTCTTTATTTTGATGTTATTATAAAACAGTTATAAATAAATAACAGTTTTAGTTTTAGAGGATTAATAAAAGTGATTGTGATAAGTTTTATATGAATTTTATAGTCTAGAGTATTTTAAATATATGAAAGAAATGTAGAGAATATTGTAATAAATAATGAATATTTTTGAGCATTAGGATTGTCAATTTGCTAAAAAAGATTATTTTAAAATATAAACCAATCTGAGTATTTTCCTTTTCAGAATTCTTTGCTGGCTTCCCACATCAATAAAAGCACAACTAGCTGTGGTGACCTACAACCATAGTCCTAGATACTCAGGAAGCTAAGGCAGGATGATTGCTTGAGCCCAGGAGTTTGAGGCCAGCCTGGTTCTGTCAATGAAGTGAAATGAAATGCAATAAAAATCTTAAAGTCCCTATGAACTGCCAGACCTTACACTATCTCTCCAATAGCACACTGTCCCCGAACTTTTCCACTGTTACTTATGCATCAGCCATACTGACCTTGCTGTGCTAAGTATTTTCGTTCCTCAGAACCTTTTCACCTACTAATCTCTTTATCTGTACCACTGATCTCAGGGCTGTTTAGCTTTAAGACAGTTGCTTATACAATACATACTTTTACCTATTTTTCAAGTCAAAGAAATTCAGAGTAATCTCTCCAAATATAGCGGAGTTGGATTTCCATATTTGTAGGATCTTCATTTCAGGGTTCAACTAATTTCCAAACAAAACTATTCAGAAAACAGTTGCATTGGAATGAACAGGCTTTTCTTTCTATTATTCCCCAAGCAATGTAGCATAACAAATTATTTACATATTTATTATTCCCTAAGCAATACAGAATAACAAATTATTTACATAACATTTATATTTTATTAGGTATTATAATCTAGAGATTATTTAAAGCATAAGGTATATGCACATAAACTATATGTAAATACTACATCATTCTACATGAGGGATTTGATCACTTAGGGATGCTGTTATTCTGAGGTGCCCTAGAATCAGTCTTTCATGAATAGCAAGGGACCGCCATGCAGCTATCCACAGTTTCAGCAGCTACCATTCTTTTTGTCTTACAGCTTTGCTGAGTATAGGCTCCCATTCTCAAAGCAATTTCACAATCCTATATACTTACAGGAATTACAGTCTTATTTTTAGATTGCAGCCAAGAGAAAGGAGGAAGAAGCAAAGAGCACTCTCTGTTTCCATGAAATGTTAAGTGAAGGAAAAAATGGAACCTTGATTTCCTAAAAATAGATTTTATATTGAATCTTTGCTATATGAAGTAAACCTCACCTACTACCTTCTTGGCAGCCTTAAAGCATAGCAATATGGTATTCTTTTCAATTGGAATTGTTTTTAATCAGCTTACTTGTAAAAATAAGTTAGTCAAAGAAAATTGAGAGTATTTTTGATGTATATAAAAATGTTGTGAAAAGAATTTAAGATTGATAGTTGTGGCAGTAAGTCTCTGAAATAAATTTGTCTCAGTTGCATAGAATTCAGAAAAATATGATTCGTGGACTGGTAGTCAGAAATGATTTCAGATTTTTGTGCTGTTTTGCTTATTTCATAATTTTGCATTTCTCTGATTAAAGGAGGTGACCAGAGAAGATTTTTTCTGAGACACATATAAATATAATTCAGATTAACATTTAGGTTTTCAATATATTAAATTTTACTATGTATAATATACAACACTATATATTGTTTGTTTGCACATGATTTCTTAAATATTTTAAATTCTATCTATTTCTGTATATGGTTTTAAAATGACATATTGCTGTTTACTGAATTTTTTAAAAGTTGCTTTATTGTTGGACTGGGGATATAGTCCAGTGATAAAACACTGAGCTAGTATGTAGAGATCCTGGGTTCAATTCCCCGCATTTTCCCCACCCCAATAAGTGTTATTGAAATCTAAATCCCATGTAATTCTCCCTTTTTTTTCTATTTTTATTTTGGTGCTACGGATGGAACCAAAATCTTTCATGCCTACTAAGTATATTTTCTACCCAAGAGCCATATCCCCAGCTGTTTCACCCATTTTAAGTATGCAAAATATGAATTTTAGTAAACGCATAGAATGATTCCATTACCAATTCAGTTTTAGGACATTTCTTTTATGTCACAAGATTCTGGTTTTTTGTTGTGTTGTGTTTTGTTTGTTTGTTTTAGTTTTTTGAGGCAGGGTCGATTCTTGCTTGTTCAGGCTGCCCATGAACATGCTGTGGAGCCCAGGTTGGCCTCAAAATTGCTGTTAGCCTCCTGTCTCAGATGTACAGGTATGTCACAGAGATTCTATATGCTCACCTGTAGTCTTTCCAGCCAAGCACAGATAACTTTTGCCTTTCCAGGCATTTTATTAAAATGAGATCCTACAATATTTTGCCATGCATTCTTTTACTTAGCAGACTTTTGAGGCCGATCCATCTTGTGGCATGAATCAGTATTTCATTCTTTTTTATTGCTGAACAGGATTCTGTCACACAGCTACATTATATTTTATTTTATCCATTTACCAGTTTATGAATATTCTAGTTCTTTACATTTTGGGGCTATTATGAACAATGAATATACTTATAGGACTTTTTATGAACATATGTAGTCATTTCTTTTGGATATACTTCTAGGTGTAAAATTGTTGAATCATATGTTATAATTATATTTTGCTTTTCAAGAAACAGACTGTTTTCCAAATTGATTGTACTATCTCACATTCTCACCAGCAATAGATAAGGATTCCAGTTTCTCTATATCCTCTTACCAGCACCCAATACTTTTTAAAAAGTCACTCATGTATCTTTGAGGAAATGTCTACTAAGCTCTTTGCCCATTTTAAAATTCAGTTGCTTTTTTGGGTATTGAGTTGTAAGTATTCTTTATATATTCTGAATGCAAGTTGTTCCTCTATCTTGTACATTTAAGAGGGGTATGCCATATTTATATTTTAAATTTAGTTATATTATGGAGCCAAGTGTATTATATAACTTTTAGGGTTAGAATCCATGCTATGAATGTAAATTATATACCAGGTATTTGATTTTCAAATATTTTCTGACAGTCTGTGATTTGTCTTTTCATTTTTAATGCTTAAAATATATTTTAAAATAGTATTTATATAGCAAGCTTGTAAAATCCTTGAAATGTCTGCTTAGTACCCTCAACTTATCAGACCACAGTTTGAATCACTGCAAGTGACCATTTCACTGACATTTAAACTCAGCAAGCTAAGGAATATATCTTAAGCAAAACAATGGACTGGTAGAGTAAGAAGGCTTACACTTAACCAGTGTTCTGTTAATTTCCTAAATAAATTTCTGGATGTTTGAATAACTTAACTGCAATTCCTATTTGCATGGTTTTGTGGAAAGTTGGAGGCCAGCTTGGATTTGAGGACAAACAGAGACACTAGGACTGATGAGTTTGGTTTGGGCAGGAGTATAAGTGAGAACACATCTCCTGATGATGGTAGGCATTGATTTGCTGGCTAAAGATAAAGAGAATTAGGATCAAAGAGGGGGAAGGAAGAATTTTGAATTCTGTAAAAACAAGGCTTTAAAAATAAAAGTTCACTGTAAAGACAATTTGTTGCTTTAAAAATAAAATACACAAAAACACAGTAAGAGAAACTGTATTGTATTCAGTGGATAAATGTTGACTTGCATATTTACCATGTCTTTGAATTTATAATTTGTGTTCATTTTTGTGCATTGCATTAAAACTAACTAACCTCATGTATTCATTTAATAATTCATGAAGTAAATTTGTTTATTTTAAAAATTATTTTAAAGAGAATAAAACAGAACAAAGCAAATCAGAATAGAGCAATGCAAGCAAATAGCACTTTACAACAAGACAACAGAACATCAACAGTGGCTACCATAATGTCTCTCTCTCTTTTTTTTTAATGGTCAAAGTAAAAATATGGAACTTTTCATGCATTTGCGTGACATCCTTGCACAGAGACCATGCTAATTCTTTGTATCATTCCAACTTTAGTATGTGTGCTCCTGAGGTGAGTTGTCTCTTATTTTCTTTGAAATAACTTTGTATACTTTCACACACAATAATATCAAATATAACAAAATAGTATAAATGCATTCAAAAGAATGAAAGCATAACAGGCTTCAAAACCAGATAATAGGAAATAATGAATGGCTACTAAAATATTTCATTTTCCTCAAAAAAGTTGTCCATACCATCACACAAAATAAAATCAAATAAAATATAACAGGATAAAACCAATCAAAACAGAAGAACAAAAGCATGATAGGACTTCAGAACAAGATGATAGTAAATCAGCAATGGCTACCATAATGTCTCATTTTCTTCAAAATAGCTGTTCATATCATCACACATAATAAAATCAAACAAAACATAATAAACCAATTAAACAAATGAATGAAAATACTGTAAGACTTCAAAGCAATATAATAGGAAACCATGATTACCATAATATATCCCATTATATTCAAAATAGCTGTCACTACCATCAGATAGAGTAAAATCTAACAAAACAAGACAGAACAAAGCCAAATCTAACAAAATTGTGAAAACAAGCGTTCAAGACAAGACAATAAGAAATTAACAGCAGTTACCACCTTTTCCTATCAGGCATTTCCTCCCCTAATCACTCTTACAATAACTATTTTGCTTTTGGATCTCATTGACTCCTGTTTTTATGCTAGGGTTCACGTGTATGAGTTTGAACTGTCTCACCCACGAACATGATCTCCAGTTGCATCCATTTACCTACAGGAGCCTTGAGACTATTCTACTTCATAGCTGCATAGATTTCCCCTGCATGAAAATATCATATCCTCCTTATCCATTCTGTGGTTGATGGGAAAGTTACGCTTGCTTTTTTTCTGGTCTCCTGCCACATGGAACAATTGTTTTCTTTCCTTTGATTTTCAGTCTATGAATTTCCTTTCCAGTTAAATGTATTTCTTGTATACAGTGTATTGATGGATCTTGTTTCTTGATCCACTCTCCCTGTGTTTCTTTTCATTGCCGAACTGAGGCCATCTATTTTAACGGCTGCAACCAGCATCCATTGGTTTGTCTGCTATCCTCCTGTTGTTGGCCTTCCACTTTTCCTCTTCTTTCAGTTCCCTGCCTTGTTTGTTGATCCTCTTCCGCTGCTGTTCCTGGAACCATGGCCATCTTCATCTCTCTGTAGAATATCCTTTAGCCCTCTCTGTAGGGTTGGTTTGGTAGTCATGAGTTCCTTAAGTTGCTCTTTATCATGGAAGTATCACTTTTCCATCAATTTTGAAAGATAGCTTGGGAGGGTACATCAGTCTGGGTTGGAAGTTGTTTTCTTTCAGGGTCTGAAACACTTCATTTCAAACTCTTCTTGATTTGATGGTTTGTGTTGATAAGTCTGTCATGATTCTGATTGGTTTTCCTTTATAGGTGATCTGTTTCTTTTCTCTAACAGCTTTTAATATTCTGTTCTTGTGCTGAATTTCTGGGATCTTGATTATTATATGTCTGGGTGTAGATTTACTTTGATTATGGCTGGTTGGAGTCCTATATGCCTAACTTATCTGCATGCCAGATCCATTTCCCATGTTTTAGAATTCTATTCCCATGAAATAGAAGTTTTCTTCTATTACTTCTGTAAATAGCCTTTTAATTTCATTTGTGTTGATCCCTGATTCTTCACTGACAACTGTCACTCTTAAATTAGGCCTCTTTGAATCATCTTGCAGCCATTGAGTTATTATTTCCTGATTCCATGTAATTTTAAAGAGATCTTTCCTTTCATGATCACTAGCTGCAATATTATCTTCAAGGTTTGAAAGTCTATCTTCAGTCTCTTTCAAGTGGTTTTGCCAGCTTTTAATTGAATTTTTAATTTCCTGGGTATCTCTTTGAGTCTGTTTTATGCATTGTAATTCCTTTCTGTATTCATTCAAGGTTTCCATCATTTTTCTATGCTTCTCTTTTTTGTCAATGTCTTTTTTATACATGCTGAGCAATTCCTTCAGTATGTTTGTGATTTCTTCTTTTACCTGAGACATTGTTTCTGATTTGACTGCTGTTTTAATCTCATGAAGTTGTTTCCTTACTTCAGTTGCTACCCACTCAGAGATTTCAGGTATATGACTTCCATATTCTTCTATGACTGTATCTTCCAGACTTGTTCTGTGTGGGCTAGAGGTATGAGATTGCCTTTTGCTCCTTTGTCTCAACATTCTCCTGGGTTCCTCCCAACAAGCTGGTTGTGGGGCCCCAGGTGCTTCCCACATTGGTTGCCCTTCCATGGGTAAGAGAGATGGTACAGGCACATGGGTTTTTCTAACCCCAGATTTACAGAGGTAACAGGGCATGGAGTGGGCTTCTCTAGACCTGTATAGCTAGACTGGGGCTTCCCTGATGATCAAGGATGCATCGAGGTGGGGCTGCTTCTCTTAGTCTGTGTGTCTACACTGAGACTCCTGCAATGATGGCAGACACAGAGGGGTGTATTTGTCTGGTTCTGCTATTGGGTGATGGCTGCCCAAAGGAACCAAGGACCTCCAATAGTGGCCTACAGGTGCACAGAGCTTACCTGGCTATGTGTGCCTGCTCCTGCTGGTTGCCTGCAGGAAGGAGCCTTCCAGGGGCATCTCCCTGCAGGTGTAGGTGGATCTGCTCGTACTCTCTGCCCAGCTGACGGTTGGCAGGATGGGGCCTTCTGGTGACAGCACCTGGCAGGCAGAGGCGGATCTGTTTGGCTCTCCCTGCCTGTGCTGGGTGTCCCTTGCTTAACAATTAATTTATTGAATATCTATTATAAGGCTAGACACTAGGTTTCAAAGGTAATTCTCATTCTCATGAGGAAAGCAAAAATAAGTACTTACAAAGTTATGGACCAAGTACTATAACATTTTATAAGTTAGTATACTTTGCAGTATAAAAATAATACCATGAAGTCAAAATAGTTTCTTTAAAAAGATGAACAAAGTGGACAAAGCTTTATCTAGATTGACTTAAGGGAAATAGGCAGAAAACTCAAATTATTAAAATCAAAATTGAAAGTATAGACATTAATTTTATAGAAATAAAAATATTTTAAAAATACTATGAACCTAGATAAAATGGACAGATTCTTAAAACGTATATTCTATTGAAACTGATTCATGAAGAAATAAACAATCTGGTAAGCCTAGCAAGTTGATCAAGAAGAGCAAGTCAATTATTACAAACATTTCAAGAACTATAATAAAAAAGATTAAAAAAAACCTTTACAGGTAAATTCCACCAAGTATTTAAAGAGCTTACACTTAACTTTCTTGCTCCAAAAACTGAAGAGCAGGGAATACTTTAACTCGTTCTATGAAGTCAGTGTTGCCCTGACACCAAGACTAAGAGACTACACAAAAAAGCAAACTATAGACCACTGTTTTCCCACATAAATACTGATGCAAGAACTTTCAAAAATAAAGTAACAAAACAAAGTCAGCAATTTGTTAAAAGGATTATATATCATGATCAAGTGAGATTCAACTATGGAATGATTCAGCATACAAAAACTAATGCAACACACCATTTAATAAAATGAAAGGAAAAAAGTACATGATAATTTCAATCAATGTATAAAAGGTCTTAGAAAAATTCAGTACCCTTTTATGTTTCAAAAAACTTCCAACACACTAGAAGTAGAAGAAAACTGTCTTAGACTGATGCAGACTGTGTATGAAAAAGCTGACAGTGAGCCTCAAACTCAGTACTGAAATACTAAAACTTTCCCTTAAGATAAGGAATAAAACAAAAACTACCTGTGTCTCCCCTTTGTATTCAATATGGTATTGAAAGTTCCACCTCAAAAAATTAGAGAAGAAAAAGAAGAGACATTAAAATTGCAACAGAAGAAGTAAAATTATTTTTCGCAAATGTTGTGACCTTATTTGTAGAAAACCCTAAAATCACATACACACATGTGCATGCATCACACACATGCACGCACACACACACACATTTGATCTAATAAAAGAATTCAGCAAAGTAGCCAGATACCATACCAGCACATAAAAATCAGTTACATTTCTATAGTTTAGCAACAACCAATCTGAAAAGGAAATTAGGAAAATTCTACTTAGAATAGTATCAAAATGAATAACATACTAATGAACAAATTTAATCAAAGAGATAAAAGTATTTTATACCAAAAACTAAAACATTGCTGAAATAAATTAAAACATAAATGAAAGTCTTCCTCTTTTGGCAGACTTAATATTGTTAAGAGGACAATGCTACTCAAAGTGATCTTCAAATTCAATGCAATCCCTATAAAAATCCTAATGGTGTGTGTGTGTGTGTGTGTCTTGCAAAAAAAAAAAAAAAAAGTAAACAATAGCCAAAGTAATCTTTTTTTTTTATTTTGTTTTTTGTCTTTTTCATTTTTATTGGTACCAGGGATCGAACTCACGACTGCCCGCTTGCAAGGCAGGCGCTTATGCCGCTGAGCTAAACCCCCAACCCCCGCCAAAGTAATCTTGAAAAAGGTCTCACCTTCTTTGATTTCAAAATTTACTACAAAGCTACCATAATCAGTACAGTGTAATATTGGCATAAAGATAAACAGCAAGACAAATGAATAGAATAAGAAATCCATAATAAAACTTTATATGTGAGCAATGACTATCAACAAATGTGCCAAGGTCATTGGCTGAGGGAAAGGACAGTCTTTTCAACTAATAGTACTTTGCCACCCTCGGACAATAATTTATCTGGAAGATTTCTATTTTTATTTTGAGGATCAACGTATCACCTTAGCTTCTGTACTCTTTAGTCTTCTCGATTTCACCTCAGATTCCAGATACATTTCTTTCTTTCAGCCTCTGAGATTCTAGGTCATCTTCTTATTTCATTAAACACTAATTTGGAGAATTTTAAAAATTTTACTGGGGAACAGGGTCTCTAACTTGCCCCAGCTGACTTCGAACTTGCTAGTCTCCTACCTCACTCAACCTTACAAGTTGTTGGAATGACAAGTATGCACGACTATGCTCAGCTTGAGTTGAAGGATT